AGGAATGCCCATAAACATGAGATGCTACTCTGCAGTACAAGATCCTGGGGCTGATGGAAAATGAACAGTATGAGAAATGGACCTAAGAGCAAGGATTGGTATTAACACAGCCTGCCAAGCTGCTACATGGTGCATCAACATTTTGGTTTGTTCTTTTACTAGCAAAGACTTAGTTTACCTAGATTAATATTAAACTTCATATGCTCCAGAGTGTAAAAGCATGGATGTAATGAACTCTGGATATCAAATAACGGGTTTGCAATAAATGTGAACATATGTAGAATAGTTTAACTCCCTAACAGTTTGTATGTTAGAATTTAGAAATCTTTTGTGTGTTTATGGGTACACTATTTCAATGCATAGGAAAAAAGCAGCATGAGCATCTGCTTAAGAAAATCTGAATGTTTTACTTAACATTATTTATTCTACAACATTTCTGAGTTGCTGTGTTTAAACTACAGGCATTTCTTTCTCAAGCTGTGAGATTTGTTTATCAGTATTACAAATTCAAGCTCACCTTGCTTAGCATATCTCTTTCCCTCACAAGCTCCTCTATAGCTTTCCTGTCAATATCTGCCTGCTTTTTGGCAGTCTCCAACTCTAGAAAGAAAAAGAAAAGAGACTAAATCCTGGGTTCAAGCTGTACAGCTGTAAAAAATAAACAACCTAGTGGACTTTTTAAAAAGCCTTAACCTTACACAAACAAACAGTTCAATTAGCTGTGACCACGTTTTGCAACCTCAGGCATCAGCTAATGATGTTAATACTTATTTGGGTACTTAAAAGAACTCAGGCACAGTAATTAATGGTATGAGGACTTACTATATTTAGGTTTTCAAACCAATATACCGCAAAGAAGTGTTTGTTTAGAAATCATGGAGCACACAGAAAATCAGAGCCTTTAAAGAAGCTTCAAGGTGAGCATTCAAAAACTGAGGCAATTTCAAAAACAGGGACTTTCGGAATTGTCCTAATCCTTCTATGTGAAATCCAGTTCTCCTTTGAGGCAGTGAAATTCTACTGGCTTCAGTGGAGTTAAAACTACCTGCTGTGGGTCAAGATTAACACTGGACATATACTATTAAAAGGATCTTAAA